TATATATATATACTCTGGCAAAAAAGTTGTATTAAATATTTTATAAAAACTCATGCCCCAGCATGAAATCAAATCACAAAAATTATAATAACATAATAAGCATGTAATCCATATATAAATAATGGAAAAATTTCTTATTTTTTTTTTTTTTTGAATTTACCATAACTACTTCCTAAATTACTAACCAAGTTATATATTACTAGTGAAGTTTTTAGTATAAAGTCTCTCGCAGCTGTACGTAGCAAGATAATAAGAAATGTACATCTCATACAAACAAGCTTATCACACAGCATACTTAATTTTAAAAATTGTGCAATTTTTTTTTTGTTTTCATTTACGTACAAATATTATATACAGATTTTGCTAAATGAAAACAGTGCATATTGACAATTGATATTTGATAAGATACTGTTATATGGATACCAAAAAAGCTTTCGAAAGAATATTGATATCAAATTGAATATTATTTTATTTCTATATATAATATATATATATACGTGTGTAGTATGAAATGTTTTTTTTTTTTTTATGCTAACGCATAACATTTAGAAATATTCATGGATATAATTGTCCAGGGTATTATAATGATACTTCAGTTTTTGGCTAGATATGTAGCATATTGATTTGTTTTTCCTGCCTTCAAAAAGACTGATTCTTTTTTTATATAATAGTATTGTAAAGAATGATAATATGATGCAGAAAAATTTGTATACTAATGCATTGGAATGCAATTTAGAGAAATAAGATTTCCTTAAATAATCTACAGCAATACTGTACAATACATATAATGTACCTATTAAATATTTATGTCAATGCAATGAACATGATACGAATGTTGTATAAAGACAAACGTTTTATCTGTGTACCTTTATAAAGTATAGTTAATTGATTGAAGATGTAATCGCGTACATCCTTAAATGCAGCTGTAAAAAATCTTCAATGTTTTTAATTTCGTCGCATAAACTATCTCTTCTAAGATAATCAATTTGCAAAATGCCACGCATACGTTATTTTTTTAAACTGACATTGTATAAAATTACATAATAAATGCAGTTGATGTCATTAATATATGACATAAATACTTAGTATACTTACATAATTAATACAACATTTGTAACGGGCGGAAATAGTGATGCTTTGGCAATTTCAAGTGCTGCAGTATGTAAAAATTTGGTTTCTAATCTAAAAAGTATTGATGCATCGTCGATAAGCGCAGCATCGTCATCTAGAAAGATTAGACCCTGTTTCAGAGTCAATAGCCATCGATAAAATATACACTGGCGTGTGAGAAAGCAAAAGATGCACAGCATCTCCGCGATCGAGGGCACGTAATTGTTGTATAAGAGAACTAACAGTACAATCCGTGCCTGCACAATTTAGTAACCTATGGAAATAATCTTATTACAATCTTAACTCTTATGTTAAATAATTTATACTATTTTCACACTTTTACTAACCTAAGCGTCGGACTGTCCACTGTACTGTCCAATTGTGCAACTCGATCTCCTAAACCCAATCTAACGGCAAGAAGACACCAATCTCTTCCATGATGATCAGGTGGATCCAGCATCTCAGCTAATCTTCTTTTTACAGCAGGTTTTATACTCTTAAGAGGTTGTCTTGTACCCGGAAGACAATTCTCCATCATGGGTAACCCACAACCAACAATGTCCCAAATACTTTCTTCTTGATTGTTAATTGGATTTTTAAGTATGGCTTCTTCCAAGTTTTTATCTATTAAAGCAGACACTATTGTTGCAGGTTCCCAAGAATGTATTACCTAAGATACCATAAAAAAAGAAAATATATTAATTTAATAGTAATTACCACGAGAAATACACATAATTAAAGCTACTAACGTCGCTATATCCTTGAAGCTGACTTGGACTAAGCCAGTGCTTCTCAAGTAACATTCCAGGTGCTACCAAGTCAAGAGTAGCATTAACAGCATCCAAAATAACACTTAAAAGTCCAAAACACTGAGCACTAGATCCACAAGGTCCTCGTACTCGAATTTCTATACAGCTTTGTTCCTCCTCTTCAAATGTTACGATACTTTCGCAAGGACCCACACACAGTTTTGAGCCTCTCCACCATTGATATAAATCCGAATTTGATGGATCCCAAGTTTGAGTGATTTTTCTCAATTGAGCCTATTTAATAGAAACTCGTTAGAATTTTAAAAAATTTCTTTATCTGTGATATGCAGATAAAATATTGAAAAATAATTCATACTTGTAAGTGCGGAAATATTGGAGATAAATGGTATAAAGGAGCCTCTGCTGGACAAAGACGAAGACCGGCATGCGGCAACGAATTCGTAGATGATTTCCATGGCTCCCATAAACCAGGAAGACGTTCCACCAGATTCAAGCAAGGTAATTCATATTCCACTTCATCGTCATCTACTTCACACTATAAAAACATAATATTATTTTGTACATTTCCTAAATAGTTATATTAAAATAGATAAAAAAAAAAACGTATAAAAATTGAAAATATACCGGAACACACAAATTAACAGCCTGTAAAGCTTGTAGAGCTTGACTCGCAGGACAAGGACATCGTGCCTGAAAATCTTCTAAAGTATAAACTCCTGTAGTACGTCCCCCAAAACGACCTCGTAGGTCAAGACATAATTGCCAATTGATAACATCTTGCCAAAACCATTCTGGACTAAGAACTATTAAGTCTCCAGGAAGAAGTAAACATTCTCCTAAATTCTGTAATATATATAATTCTACAATAAATACAATGTGTTTGTCGAGAAGAGTTTAAAAGTATAACTTCAGGTACTATGCATCATTATAGTAGTTTCCCGTCGGGTGGTCTTTTAGGACAAAAAGTCACTATAATAGCTATATAAAAATATTATACCTTATTCAGTTGTTACTTTATACTAACGTAGATAGAACTAAATAAATTGTTAAAAACATTGATATACCAATCATGGTATTACAAATAATATCGTTAATACTCACTCCGCGGCAAAGCTATATAGAGTAATACAACTCAATAGCTAGCTTAGCCGTAACATTAGAATGACTATATACCTGTGTATATATACCTGTAATTGTAATCCAAGTTGTTTGGAATGCTCTAAGCAAACCAATGGATTGATTTTTCTGATTTCATTCAAAAATTCATCCTGTGTAAGCATTACTGGAGGTACTTCCAAAGATTGTACATATGTCCTCCATGATTCAGCCAGACCAGTCCATACCAAAGCACTCTATAGTAAAAATTCTATATTAATTATGTAGTCATACAAAAATTGATAACACATATTGATGCATAAAATATATACAAGAGAGATATTTATGCTTTATTACATTTGATAATAGTGCACGTAGTATGTATTTTTGGGGCAAAGCATTAAAGCATCTACTTTGAAATAAGTAGAATTCTTATTAGAGACATCACTTTTATCAAAGGAATTGAGAAATGGATCGACCTGTTTATCAAGATTCGCCAGGGGCACGTACATGGCCGCTTCACGCGGCGTGTCACGTCGGAGAAAACTTTCTGCAACTTCCGGTCCATCCTACATCATGCATGGCATGCATTAAGGCTGATATTAATAAACTTTAATAGCCAAATAATCAGCAACCAAAAAATATGTTATTAGTCATTCGATCATGTAATAGATACAATGGAATAAATGATCAAATATAGAAATGTTAATATTTAAACAATAACTTTTCAAAACAGATCTTATTTATATATAAATTTTTAAAATATAAAGTAAATTGTTGTAATAAATCTTATAGAAACTTTATATCTTTCATCAAAAAGTTAACAAAAAATCTAACGATAAGAGTCTGTTTTTACAAGTTTATGTATTTCATTAATGTTTTACTTGTGCTTATGTTAGTCAGACATTGCAAATAATCAATGTGATAGAAAATTGTGAAACACATAAATATTTTACTTTCAATGACTTGATTTACTGACAATTGTATTAAATTAACCATGCATTGGATCGATGACCAAGAATTGGTGAAGGAAGCATAATTAGCAAAAATATTGATATATTTTTGAATTCCTTGCTTAGTTCACCAATATTTTAACACTGCCAGACATAGTGTACATATGCAAAGTGAAAAATTAGTTTTTGACCAGGACCGTTTTGTAAAGTTATATAATATTAGGTGGTTCGGAAAGTCGTTTCCTTTTTCTTTTGTAAAAATGAAGATAATTTTTACTTTGAGATTAAACCTAAACCTTTTAAGTGGTCATAAATAGTTGAATTTGATAAATTTAACCTCTCGTCGATCTCATGTGTTACTATTTGTCGGTTTGCATCAACTAATGCCATTATTGCGTCAGTAAAAAATGAAACGACTTTCCGAACCCCACCTAATATAATATTATAAAAAATAATGTAATTATATTATAAATTGACTAAAGAGAGATATGTTATATGTCTATAAACGACACGAATTCTCTCTTTTAATCAATTATTCGTTAAACGGACCTGTTCGTACTAGATATCAAGCATGCTATGATATCGTGCACTTAGTATACTCTGAAATGCATCGAGAGTATACTGAAGTATAGAAGACATATTTAAAGATAGAGCAAGAACTAGAAGAGACTGAAAATGCTTACAGAGTGCTCACAACTTGAT